ACATTTGAATGCTCATTTTTATTGCAAATATAATCTATTGTATTAAACGCGTATTCGAATTTGAGACATAGTCTGTGATCACTTTCATACAAACATCCAGGTCGGGGGCCCTTGTACTATAGCCAGCTCCCCTCACAGACTTTGGAGGCTGACCACGAGATTTTACTATACTGAAATGTGGACTAAAGGGCTGTCCACACCCAGAATGTGTCAGTCTTGTACAGTTTTATCTGTCGGGGCAGTTCTGACCTGACTGTGTTTTGGTGACCAGTGCACAGCGTCAGGCCCGGAAGCCGGTGGCTGGCCCGGGCCCCCGGCCACTGCGAGCACAGTGCAGGCACAGACGGGGTGGGGGTGGGGGGGATCTGCCTCGAGGGGTGCAGCCGCCAAGCAATGTCGGGGGCAGCAGGGAGACCTGACTCAGGTCCAGAGACAAACCCCAAAACAAGATAGTAATGAGTGCAGTTTTGTTTTGGTCCAGAGTCATCAATAGAGTTCAAGTTACAAATAAATAAAAATGAAAATTTTTATTTTCACTATTGTTTTTATTACTCTTGAGTGAATAGAATACATAGTCAGTGAGAAAGAGTAATCAGACTATACCAGTAATTGCATAGTTCTTGTCTTCTCGGGAGCTCTATGTGCTTATATTGTAACGTATGTTATAATGTGTCGTGTACTAGGTGTGTAAGAAATGAATCAGCCCACAAAAACTTTTACTACCTGAAACTTGTATGTCAACTACAGTTGAAAATACATTTTTAAAAATATTCACTTACCCCTATATCATGTCTGCAAAAAAGTTATAAAACAATGAAATTGCCCTTCATTTGCTTCCATAAGTTATTTGCCCAAGGCAGTAATGGGTCTGTGTACACATACGTATGTGCAGAGTAAATACCCCCACGTTGGAGAGAGGTGAAAGGGGGCCTAAGGTCAAAAGAAACTTCAGAGCCATATTACCAGTCCCAATACCTGGGCCTTATTTAGACCGTGACTCAAACAAACTGTTAAATAAATTGGTGGGACATTGGGGAAATGTGAACACTCACTGAATATTTGAAGACAGAAGGAAACTACTGTTAACAGTTTCTAGATGTGAAAATAATACCGTGGTTACTTTTAAGAGTTCTTTTCTGTAGTTGTATATAAGCAACTACAGACTTTTTTCAAAGGAATCCACCGGAGGGGAAATGGGTGAGGTCGGGGACGGACCGGAACCAGTGGTGAATAGATGGGTACATGGGATATTATACCACACTCCCTTTTTGTATCTGTTTTGAAATCTTATGTAACTAAATTTTAAAACAAGACACAGATATATCCATAGCCAAATATAAGTTCGGCTTTTCAATATCACATAAGACACTTTTAGGCTCAGTGGTGCGCCTGCCTGCGTCCGCCTCTGGGGGAGAAGGGCGTAGCCCGCCTGTCCCCTCCCCCCCCCCCACGCCGCTCCCTGACCCCAAGGCAGGCCGGCCGAGTCCCTCGGGCCTGACTGGCCTTTCGCCCTGGGGGGCGCCTTCCAGGAAAGTGTTCCGGTCTGATCCACCCGGCAAACGTTCACCGAGCGCCTCCTTCAGCCCAGAGTAATTTCTGCCTCTGCTGGCGGGTCCTCCCCCAGCACCTTCTCAGGGCCACACTCCGTGAGTGAGCCCCTCTGCCCCCGGGCCCCCCTCCCTTCTCCTCCGCTCTTTCCCTCAGCACGGACGCGCTCGGATGTCTGTTAGAAACCCCAGTTTCCCTGGTGGCTTCATCCTCCTGTAACGTGCATGCATGCGCACTCTTCTCCATCCCTTTATGCCTGCATTTCTGAAATGAGCTTAAAGAGCCTTTTAAATCTCAATTTGTTAAGTGTTTAGTAAGTGCCGCTATGTGTTCAGACATGGTGGAGAGACGTGACAGAAATTGTAGCCTTCAGAAGGTCTTCCAAACTTCTAGGCTTGCAGTTCTAGTCTGGGACAGGTTTACGCTCTAGTCTGGAGCCAACAGTTCCGGGTGAGCCAGGTTGGAGGACAATTCAAGGCCATGTACCACTGCAGGCTGAGGCAGCACCGGGGTAGCTTAGGCAGGACTTGAGCTGGACTTGGAGGAGTGGACGAGATTTGGAGGGCTGAAGAGGGAGGGAGGCATTTCACGCCAACTTTTCGCATGAGAACACTTGTGAAGGTTGGTGGGCACAGCTTGTTCCGAGGACGGGAGGGCTGGCCTGACCACAGGGCCGGCTGGGGAGGGCCTCCGAAGGCCTTGGCAGGCGCACTGCTTTGTCTAATTCTGGCGGGCAGGGCACGCTGCAGACAAAGGGAGCCCAGGAATGGGCGGTACCAAGGAGCACCTCTACACCTGGTTAAACCTGATTATAAGAAAGCAGCGTGACAGCTGACAGGAAAGGCTGAGGACCCTGCAGGGGGCCTTCGCAGTGTGACACTGCGGGGAGGGCCTGACCTGGGGGCAAAGGTGGTGGTGGTGGTGGTGGTGATGATGGCAACTTGACTTTGTGGCCGAAGGAGAGCAAAGAATGGGCAGAGCCAGCCTGGCCCGGGAATTCTGAGTCTTGGGAGAATGGGTCTGATTGTCCTCTGATGAGGCCCTGCCCCATGAAGTTGGGCTCTGGGCCATAACACACCAATTAACCCCCCCATGTGGACCGTATTGGAACCCTGAATTTTACAAATAAACCATTAAAGACTTCTATAATTGAAAATGTTTGAATTCTGCCTGGATTCCATGACATTAAAAAACTGTTTACTTTTAAAAGTTTTTTACAGTTTTTTAAAGATTTTATAGGGAGAGAAATATCAATGTGCGGTTGCCTCTCATGCATCTCCTGCTGGGAACTGGCCTGCAACCCAGGCATGTGCCCTGACTGGGAATTGAACCACGATACTCTGGTTCACAGGCCCACGCTCAATCCACTGAGCTACACCAGCCAGGGCCTCTTGTTACATTTTAAAACAGAAATTTGGTCCACTTCTGTTTTACCTAAAGCAGAAAAAATTCACTCACTGGAAAGAACTGATGCTTTGCTTTTTTGTGGGAAAACAAACTGGGATATTCACATGATCTCCTTTATCATAATCATGGAAAGGGTCCAGCCAGCTGAAGAGGCAAAGACAAAACTCAAGAGAAAAGTCACATTTTTAGGTAGCTGGAAATAAACACTTCCTCTGGGAGAGCCAGTCCGAGGGGCGGTCTCTGGCAGCAGAGCGTGTGGCATGAGTGTGAGCGCTGAGACCTTGGTGAGAAACTGCGGCCTGAGCCACAGCTGCCAGCGAAGGGGCCAGTGCTGCCGTGGTGGCAACCACACACTGCCAGGCAGGGTCTGGGGGCAGAAGAGTTGGTTATGCTGGTGCCCAGCCACACAGCACCTCTCTCTCTCACTTACAAACCACAGACAGGGAGGCTGCTCTGACAATGTCCCCAGCTGTGCAGTAAGGGGACACCAGCCATCATGAGTTGGTGGAGGGTCCTATGAACTGCAGCGAAGCCCCATGGTTGGGAAGTCACCTCCCAGGCTACAGGACAGGGACCAGATTTCTTTCTCAATGAGTGGTCCCAGACAAAACAGATCCTTAAGCTTCTAAACTAGAAAGCCAGGAGGGTCAATTTTGAACTTGAGTAAGTAACACCATTTTCCGTTTTTTTCTTCACTTTTTTCAACCATTTTTTACTGTCGTTTGAATACAGTTGTCTCCATTTTCCTGACAATACCTTCCCCTGCCCCACCCATCCCCACCTCCCACTCAATCCTACCGCCCTTTGGCTTTGCCCAGGGGGCCTTTACACAGGTTCCTTGATGACCCTTCCCCTTCTTCTCCCCCCCATTATCCCTCTCCCCCCTGCCCTCTGGTTATTGTCAGTTGTTCTTTTTTTTCAATGTCTCTGGTTCTATTCTGTTCGATTGTTTGCTTTGTGGTCCTTTCTTTTAATGAGGAAAAAAGTTGTAGCGGGGAGTGGGAGGCTGGGGGATTAACAGCAGTGTGTGCTTCCCTGGGGACGACCCAGCATGGAGTCGGCATGAGAACCCGGCTCAGTGAACACGTGAGGGCCTGCTCTGTGCCAGGCACGGTGGACACAGCAGGGATGGAGGAGACTCGATTCCTGCCTTCACGGAGAACAGGAGACGGAGGAGACAGGTGCACAAAACCCCTGGATAAATACTGAAACATAAGGGCAGGGAAGTCCTGTGACTTAGGCAAAGTAACTCTGTTACTAAAGTCTGACTTTGGGCAATTTGGTTAATCTCAATTTTTTGATCTATAAAATGGAGCAATTCTTACTTTGCTGACACTGTAGCATTGTAAGGACTGAGGCTAGTAAAATAATTGCAACAATACTGAATGAAGATGCATCCGCAGCTGCAGGAGGAACAGAGAAGGCTCTTAGACCCTCTTACCTAAGGCCTATGACAGGCTCTCGAGGAGGGGCGCCCCCCCCCCGCAGACGGCAGCCAAGGCCCACGGCAGGCTCCCGATGCAGACGCTGCCCCTCTCCGGCCAGCCCCAGAGCAGAGGTGCCCTGTGCCCTCGTTCCTGTAGTCGGTTCCCACTGGTCACCTTGTCACACCGGACCAGCCTGGGCAGGAGCCACCCTCTCCAACTCGTTCAGACTCGCCTGAATCAGAGGGTGAAGGCACTTAGTTCTGGTAATCTTCACAGATCTCAGAGCTCGAGAGACAGAGGGACATTCCGGAACATACTGTCCAGTCCTCCTGTTTGTGAGGAAGAAAAGGAGACTTGGGTGCGGAGTGTGACCTGCTCAAGGGCTTGGAGGTGGTGGCACTGCTGGTACCAGCCTGTTCTCTGGGCCCTCCTGGTCCAGCAGAGCCGCTTCCCTTTCCTGGGAGCTTTTGCCCCCACGGACCCTGTTGCCTGTTTTGACCTCCTGTCTCCAAATACCGAATTCAGCCTAACATCTAAGAAGGCGTATTTAGAGCAAATAAAAAAATTCTTTTTGGATTTAGCAAATGCTCTTATTTATTTTTTAAATCTTTTAATTTAATTTTTTCCCCATTACCATTTAGCCTTCTTGATCACCTTTTCCCAAGCTCTCTGTTCTCTGGGGTCTTTCGTTGTCTGGGAAAATGCTTCTGAAATGCCTGCTGTGTGACCCGAATCACAACAAGGGCTCCCAGAGGTGAAAATGAGATGGCCCAGTCCCCAGGCAGCTCTTGGTTTAGTTACCCCTGACACGCTTTCTCTGCGACCTAGTTCCCGTAGTCACCCGTGCGTGCCTTTTCGCTTCCTGGGGCTTCCCATTCACGCCTGTCCGGCAGCTTCTGCCACCTCGACTGTGGGCCCAGTGAGCAGAGAAGCGGCCGCCCACCTCAGGTGCCTCTTCCTGACCCTTGGGGTTCTCATGGTACCTCAGGAGCGTGTCATCTCTGCTCCCTCTGTCCCCGAGGAATTTGGTTTTGCCCTCAGCTGAAGGACTGCCTTCCTCCAGTGTGCCCCTGGAGTGCTGGCTTTGGTGTCCCCAGCTTTCTCTCCCATCACCTCTGGGAGTCGCTGAGCTGCCTTGAGTCCGGGCTTTGAGGCCTTGGACAGGAAAACAGTGGAGTTCGGTGGAGAGTGACCTGTGCAAATGAGGACACGGTGCTCCGGTGGAAGGCTGAACTGGAGATTCTGAAGTCCCCCCAGCTCTGACATTTCTGGAAAGGTCTCTCCAAAGGCGGACAGCCTGAAAAACTAGTGGGATTCTACTGTGTGTGCCCAAACTGAAGGCCAACTCCTCAGCATTTTAAATGAACGTGGGCACCAAGTTTGACTTCAGACTCTTCCTGCTCTCAGATGAGGTCCCCTGGTTGGAGACGAGGTGCAGGGGGACAGGAGTCCGTGGCCAGTGTGCACACTTGTGAGACAGCGCTCTCGTCTATGGAAGCGTTCCCATACCCTGGTGCCCCTTCCACTTCTGCTGGAGTCGACACCCTTCCCTGTGCTGAAATGCTGATGAACGGGCCCCAGGTGGCAAGGCCTTGGCGCCTGACTCCGGGAGAGCCCACAGTACCACGTTCTCCTGGAACCGGCCGTGACTTGTCAGTTATTTGCTCCTCTGGAGAAACCTCAGCTTGGAAATCTGTTTAATTACCATGGGAGATAATCTTTTAAACATAGCTCTACATTCTTCAAAGTCTTTTCCCTGTGAGAGTAGGAAAGTCTACCTGAATGTGGGATTGGATTGTTTATTTTAATTTCCAGCAGAAGGACTACTACCTGGTAGTTATCTATCAAGAAGCCTGAGCCCTGGAGGATTTATTTTTTGAGTCTGTTCCTCCTCACTGGTAGTTTGTCAGTTACATTGTAATAATTAGTCTGTAGTCTTGTCATACTTTCTCTCAGCGTAAACCCTGCACTTGGCTCCATGATTCCAGGCCTATAATTACTTGGTATTTTTCAGGCACCCGCATCAGGCTGGGTTTCGTACTTACCCTAGATGTGTGTAGCGTCAAGGTTCTCAAGGGTCTCCTCGCTAGGAGAGGATCATACCTGTGACTCCATTAGCCTCAGAGACCCTGCTGGGGCTGCAGTCACTCAGACACCGATTTTTCCAACTTGGGGCACCCGGCAGACTCATTAAATCCTTCCCCACTAGCAGGCAAGCCCAGGCCAGCAGGGGCTTTCGCACTGCGTCCCACCCGGCAGCCCTGGGCCCAGAGCAGTCCTGCTTGTGGCAGGGGAAGTGGCCGAAGGTCAGCAGGTCTTCGTGTGGAGGGGGCGTGTGCTGTGTCACAGTATGAGCAACACACAAAATCGAGCAGAGCTGGGTGGTCCCTGGCCTGGGGGCTGCCCTAGGCCCTTCCCCCTCATCACTTTAAGAGCAAGCGGTCTTGAGGCATTTTCTGCACCTGGTTCCGTAGGCTGAGATCTCTGGGCCTTGAAGAATATACCTCTGTGGATTAAAGAAAGGAGGGATTGTATTGCATACAGAGTTGGAAGGTAAGGGAAAGAGTTTGTGGAACACTGATTAAATCTTGGGCTTAAATCTTTTTTTTCCAGGTCCTGACGGGGAGAACAGCTGGCCCAAGTACTATCCATCATGCGGGGGCCTGATGCAGTCCCCAATAGACCTGCACAGTGACATCCTCCAGTACGACCACAACCTTGTGCCCCTTAAATTCCAAGGCTACAATGTGTCTACCAACGAGCAGTTTACGCTGACCAACAACGGCCATTCAGGTGAGGGAGGCCCCAGGGAGCTGCGGGGACGTCTGGGCTCCCTCTGCCCCCTGCCTGCCCTCTTCCATCTGCTGGGGAAGGGGCTCCACAGAGACACCGGGGGAGGGGCAGGGGGACCGCTCCCTCCAGGCAATGCCGGAGGCCCTGGGCTCGGCCGCTCTGCCAGAGCAGCACCTCTCAGAGGCAGCGCACGTCTTGAGATGGGAGAGGGGACAGGCCTGAGCCCCTTGGCCACTGGCTGTGGTGTGGGAATGAACTCTTGGGCCTCAGGAACTCCAGGCGCCACACAGTTCACTGTGGGCATGCACCCAGCCTTTGGAGTCAGACAAACCTGGCCTGGAATTCTGGCTCGAGTGCTTATGAGTCATGAGACTCTGGGGAAGAATTTTAACCTCCTTGAGCTTCCGCCTGGAAAACGGGCATATTGGTGGGTACTGTGAAGATGAGGGATGATGTGTGCTGGGATCTGCCTCGCAAATAGCAATTGTTGTTGCTGTGATAGAATTCTACAGCTCAGCAGGTACTTCAGTAAAGGTTCTATCTTCGTAGCCAGGTGTGTAATGCGTGGATGCATAAACAAATAGCCATCCACTGGTCTAGTACCCGTGTTCCTGCCATCATTTTCCAAGGAGAACCAAGAAGGTACAGGTGCCACCAGAACTGCTTTAGTGAAATAGGGACGGACATTCTCAGGACGAGAGGCCAGGTTCCTGACCTGCAGGCTGCCTCTCTCCAGTCTCCACCTTGCTGTACCCGCCCGCCCCAGTCTGGGCCAGGCACGTGTTGTCTGCCTGACTTTGAGCTGGCCTCTCCACTTCCCACAGTGAAGCTGATCCTGCCCCCCAGCATGCACATCCAGGGCCTCCCATCCCGCTACAGCGCCATACAGCTGCACCTGCACTGGGGGGACCGGAATGACCCCCACGGCTCCGAGCACACTGTTGGTGGGGAGCACTTTGCTGCTGAGGTGAGTGAGGTGTGGGGCTGACAGAAGCTGCCTGGCGGTGGGTGGCCTGGCATTCTTCCATTTAGCTGATGTGCAGGTAAGATCCAAGTGCACAGGTGGGAGTGGGGGGCATGGCCTTCATGCTCTTCATACTGGCCCCATCAGCAGCATAGGAAGGTGTAGCTACTCTGGCCTCCCTGAAGCTCCTCTGTGGTCTTCTGGTCCCCTTTCTGTCCGAGACAGACTGGGTTTTTCTCTATCTTTTACTGAGTGATGCTGCTCAGAAGGCAGTGCTCCCGGAGGGGGGCACCGTGGGACACATATGCCCCTTTTCTAGACATCGCCCTTCTGCTGGCACAGACTAAGATCCCACCAGCTTGTCTAGCTGATGTGTCCCACTGCTGAATCATACTGGGCTGTTCCCCCAAACTTCTGTTTCTTCACACACCAAGCTGTTTGCACAGGTCTTTCCCATCGCATCTTTCCTTTCCCTGGACATGGATGGTGCTTTGAATATGGGGACCTAGGTCCAGGGCTACTCTTCTGTTGTACTTGGCCACATTCAGAGTCCCCACGGCCTTGAATTTGGAGGAGTGTTCTGAATATTTACAGTGTGATACAAGGAGATAAATACTACTGATCAGCCAGTGGGGCCCACAGTAAATACTGACATGACCACTTTCCTCTGTTCTTAATTGCTGAACTGCTTAATGTCTCAGGCTAATTATAAGTTGAGTTACCAATGTGGAAAGACGAGAATTCTGGAGCGGCAGGATGCCACTACCGGAGGTGCACAGGTTTCAGACCAGGCCCCTCTCTGAACCTCCGGGCTGCAGCCCTTCCAGGCTAACTGCAATGTGGAGGCACCTACTTTCTCATGGGGAATAAAGAAGGAGTTACGGTGTAGGCTGGGAGAGTCTGGACATTTCAAGTTATTTCTAGTTATTATACTTTCTGCTCTTAAGCCTCATCATTAGACCAAGAGTCGGGTGAAGATGGACCATAACGTCAACAACAGAGAAAATACATGGGGTTGACCCTAAAGTGGTGGGTTCTCTGTGCAGGGTCCTCGGGGACACAGAGATCTTCAGGGTTGAGTCTACATAAGCAATCTCGCAGTCCCGTCGGCAGGGAATTCCCTCCCACCCTTGATTCAATCTGAGCACAGAGAGAAAAGTGCTAAGACAGATCACAAGCTCAAAGTCAGGTGTAAAACAGAAACAAGGCCCAGGGCCTCTGGGGTTCAAGCCACATGGCATTCTGCTCCGCTGGGCAAAGCGGTGCCAGGCGAGGACAGTGCAGGGCCATGCGGGAGGCACAGCCTTGGGGGAGGAAAGGGTGAAGTAGGAGCCCCTACGAAATCCTTAACAGAGGACCAGCTAAAAGCAGCAATAATTTAATATAACTTTTAAAAATGAGAAAGGGCCACCTGAAAAGTGGGGGACACTGAGCTGTATTCAATAAAATATTCTTGGATTCTAAATATAACCATGTAAGATGGAAAAAGGCGTGGATAAAGAAAAACAAAAGAGAGGTAAAGTCTCAGTGTGTCATAGCCCCGAGAGGCAAAGGACCAACAAGAGTGCACGCGTCACATCTGTAGACCTATTTACTACTGCAGTATTTTGGGGAACAAGTGATGCAGCCTTTAGGATGAAAAATCAGATCACACATTGTCAGAATTTGCCATTATAATGTCTTTTTTTTTTAAGATTTTATTTATTTATCTTTAGAGGGGAAGGGAAGGAGAGAGGGAGAGAAATATCAATGTGTGGTTGCCTCTCATGTGTCCCCTGCTGGGAACTGGCCTGCAACCCAGCAGGGGATGCATGAGGGGGCACACGCCACTAGGCATGTGCTGTAACTGGGAATCGAACCGCAATTGTCTGTTTTGCGGGCCTGTGCTCAATCCACTGAGCTACACCAGCCAGGCCATTACAATGTCTTGATGCTTACCTAGACTTTGTTTTTCCCTTGAGACCAAAATATTAGACCATATATTTTAGTATGCATGAGGAAGACAGATAAATAATTTAAGCCTGGTAAAGAGAATCCCTGGGTTTTCTATACCCTTCTCTTTCCACAAGTCTAATTATAAGGTGACTCTCTTGGCTCTTGTCATGACAGCCCCATTATGTCCATCTCCATGTCATCAGTCCCCAACAGAATTGTCCCCAAAGAAACAACATCGGCAGAATTGGCTCCCTGGATAGTATTCCCTGTAGTGATCTTTAGTGTCCCATACCCAGGAGGAAATGTTACCTAGTTGTACCATCGTTGCTTTCAAGAGGCTGTGCCAAAGCCCGTGTGGAAGTTTTCTTCTTGGAAGCCATGGTCCCAGTTCCTGACCTTTCTTCCGCTGTGTTAAGTGTTGCCCCATCACTGGGCCCAGTCATGGGGGAATTAGGAGAAACATCACAAGTATTAAAATGGACAGTAACATCTTCTGTAGGGAATAGAGGAGGTAGTGGCCTTTGAGTGTATTCATCAAATGTTATGGGAGGGAAGCAATTTAGCTTGTTCATACAAAGAAGCTTGTCCCTTTCCGAATGCAAACATAGTCTTCTGCAGTGCCCCACAGGAGTCTCCCGGCACGTGTGGACTGCCAGCCAGCCTGCGACTCTGCCATTCCACTCCTAGTTGTTTACCCAGGAGAAATGAAAGCGTATGTCCGCACCAAGGCTTGCACACAAATGATCAAGAGCAGATTCACTTGTAGTAGCCAGTGTAGATCTGGAAGCTGGAAGTCCCAGAGCAAGGTCTCGCAGGGTGGGTTTATGGCGAGCGCTCTCTCCCTTGGCTTGTTGGTGGCAGTCTTCTTGCTGGCTTGTCTTGTCACATGGTGAAGAAAGAGAGCGTGTGACACCACCTAGACTTTATAAACCTAAGATTTCCCCAAAACTTCTCTCCTTCTCACTTTGATAATGACAACTTCTGCTTTGAAAAAATGAGTTGAGAATTTGTTTTTGTGAAGGTTAGTGTCTATATTCATGGAGCAAGGTTTTTGTTTTATTGCCAGTTAAAATACACCTGATAAAACCTTGATAAGACCATGTGGTGATTTTCTCTGCCAGAGGGATTAACATGTGTCCTCTCTGGACACAGTGATGAGTAAGTTACAGCTAGAGGTTTACTGCCCCAGACCCCTGTGCTTCCAGGTCAAGTGCAGAGTGGCTAGACAACATGAGACTCTTTTGGCCTGGGCTCCAAAACAAGTAAATGAATCAGAAGAGAGAAGTGCTCCAAAGTACCCAAGGTTTTTCATGGCATAAAAACTCATTCATCCACTCATTCATTCATTCATTCACTCATTATCTATTGTGCACATGGTACTTTCCAAGCACCATATCAGACTCTGGGACACAGTGGCTCAGTAAAATGCACAGTCTGCCCTGGCAGAGTGCAGGGAGGAATGAGGGAAAGGGGAAACTGGGGAGGCCATGAGCGGAGGGCCTGAGAGGTGTAAGCCACCTGGGGGGAGGTCTGTTCTTCCCATTGAATTCCAGCCTCCTGCAAAAGTGAAAGGTTCCCGTGAGTCGTGCACCCCCTTATAAGCAGTTTCTCGTCCACTGCAGCTGCATATTGTCCATTACAACTCGGACCTGTACCCCAATGCCAGCACCGCCAGTAACAAGCCACAAGGCCTCGCTGTCCTAGCTATCCTCATAGAGGTAAGAGATGTTAAAGGGGATTTGACATGAAATTTGAGCCTGGGATGCCATCAGACTCGGCATTTGGTTCCATGTACACCTGTCTGCTGGATGTGCGTGGCTCAGTCACATTTAGGCTGTGCCTTGCCTCCAGAGCGGGGAAGGGGGGGGAGGGTAGGGCATTCCCCGCCAGAGTTGCTTCTCTCTCAGCCTGGAGGTGGCACTGTCTGTGGCTGGGCAGCAGAAATGGGCATCTCTTTTGTGACACTGGAAAAATGAGCCCTAGTCCCCGCCCCACTGCATAAGGTACGGAATTGCCCAGTTGGGTGGCACATGTGAGTGTGTGTCTGGGCGGGAGGGTGGGAATCATTCAATTCTGCACCATCTGACGCTTGAACCCCTGACACAACTCCTGGTATTCAAGTTCTATCCTTTGTATGCGCCCTGGGATAAGTTCTTTCCAAATCCCAGAAAATGGGACTATCTCTTAATTCACTTGTGTTATTTTTCCCTAATGAGGCCGCATGTGCCTTGTGTCTTACTTGCCTTGCATGAATTCACACTCCCTTAAGTTCGGGTTAAAGGACATGACTCCCGGCTCACAGCCAGATAATCAGGAGCACAAGCTGTATATCTTGATCTGGGACACTGCAGCCCCAGTGCCTTGAGCTGGAAACATTATGTCCTGAGCTACAGGAGGGCGGGACCACTGTGCCACCCTGTGCCAGCCTAGTGACCCATCATGGCCTAGCAGTGGCGACCATGTGCCCCCAGCCAGGCCCTTCTGTGAGCAGTTGTCAGTTCAGGCTCGGCCTACAGAATTCTGCCCCAGTTCAGCCTGCCCTGTCTCTGTTGCAGATGGGCTCCTTCAATCCATCCTATGACAAGATCTTCAGTCACCTTCAAGAAGTGAAGTACAAAGGTGAGTGGCCCCAGGATGCGAATCGCCCTCTGTTGGAGAAGGATATAGTGGCTCCCTAGTGACCTGAAGGGAAACAAAAGCTGAGGGCAGGTGCTGCCTGTGACCAAGCCCTTGGGTCAGAGGGCCCAGGAAGGGGCGAGTTCACATTTCTGGGCTCAGCCACATGCTCAGCTGCTCCTCTGCCACGGTGAGCGAGGACGACGCCATCCCCCAACATGTCTCTCCAGACCGTGAAGTGCACATTCCGGGCTTCAGCATTGAAGAGCTGCTTCCTGAGAGACCTGAAGAGTATTATCGTTACCAAGGGTCCCTGACCACACCTCCTTGCCACCCCAGTGTGCTGTGGACGGTTTTCAGGAACCCTGTGCAAGTCTCCCAGGAGCAGGTAAGTGTCGGGCCTCTCCAGTCAGAGACCACGTGGTGTCACCCACGTCATAATCGATGACTCTGGCCTCACTTAGAGTTCACTGGCAGCTACTCAAGTGCTCTCCAAATGCCACGGGTGCGTGGGAAGTGCTGCAGCAGTTACATGGGGCTGGCAAGTCAAGTAGGAAAATGAATCCGTTTCTTTAAAAAGAGTTAAGTTGCATTTCCTAGTCTGTCCCTCTGTGGACGGTGTTCACCTCTCAGGTGGGAAGGAGCACACTTCCTTCGCAGGGGTGGAATGAAGGAAGGATCAGGTTAAATCATTTAACACACGCAGGAGCTGGGACGCAGCGATGAGTGAGTGAGGTTCTCTGCCCTCAAGAAGCTCACAGTCTAGTGCAAAACCGGGCAACGGAAGCCTCAGTGATCATCTCTGACCCGCTCGTTTTACAGGTGATGGAAGTGAGGGTTAGAGAGTCGACGACACTGCGGGATCACCCACCGCTGGTTAGTGACGGAGCTAGACCAGGCCACTGCCCGTCCCTCTACTCTGCAGCCCCAATTCATGGAGAGGAAACAAGGCTGTCAGGGGCCAGGCCCGGGGCCGTGCTGCACACGGGCTCCACCCGTCGCCCCCTCACTGTGGCTCCTTTCCAACTATGAGCTACTGATCTGAGTAACCGAGAGAACAGGCAGCAAGTAGGCGGGTAGAATGACATGATAAATGAAGAGGGGAAATGTGTGGGGAAGCAGAAACACCCTAACCCAGAGACAGCCTTGGAAACAGACTGTATAATCTACTCAAGTACATGAAAATTCCGTGGAACTGGCGGTCAGGTGACCTGCGAAATTCTGCCTCCCTCTTCCTGTTCCTTTTGATGGGACCCACTAGGCCCCTCTGATTTAGAGGTGGGTTCCAAATCAGGCTCAGGAGAGTAGTGCGGTCTCAGGGAGAGACTGAGGGGTGCCTTCTGCACCCCAGATCCCCCTACCTGCACTCAGATTTCAAGCACAACCTGAAGCTAACAGCACTGACCTTCCCCCAAGCCTGGGAGGTGGGAAGGTGGAGCAGCTCACCCCATGGCCAGTCACCCGGATGCCCGCAGGGAAGGGGAGCAGTTCTCTGGCTTTCCCGCTGCTGTGTGGCCCACAAGGCTCTGGAAGTGAGAGCTGGTAGTCTCTTCCTCCTGGAGGTCAGGCAAGGTGGCCGTCCCTCTGTCTGCAGGGTGTGCTTCTCTTCTCCCCGCAGCTGCTGGCTTTGGAGACAGCTCTGTATTGCACACACGAGAATGACCCATCCCCCGTAGAAATGGTCAATAACTTCCGGCACGTCCAGAAGTTCAATGAGAGGCTGGTGTATGTCTCCTTCCAACAAGGTGAGGCAACTTGGGGTGTGTGGGGTGGGTGAAAGGGGAGTGTGGTGCCAAGGCACTCGTTGAGTATGGAGTCGGGTGCTGGTTCTTGGGTTTTGTCCCAGATGCCTTTAGGTGGATTAAGCATAACTCTGGCCACCAAAACCACCAAGGTACATGAGCAGCTATTGCGTGTGGGTTTACTGAGGGTGCCCTTCACCTGCTCTCCACTTCCCTGAGCCTCTGTAGAAAGTATGAGCCAGGGCCTCCAGGTGCGTGAGCCAGAGCCCTCTTTGAACCTGGGAGTCTCCGTGCTATGGGGAGGGAGAATGCTCTGGGGGACCTTTCTGCTCTGGAGACCTACCCCTTCTTCTAAGGCGTACTACAGCACCCTTTTCATGAGATCACACTTCCGACTTCTTATCCTGGGCCATCTTAGCACCATGGCCCATCTCCAGCCGTGCCGGGTGATTCACAGCACTGCCAGCGTCATCAGTGCCCAGGGACACTCCTTTTCGAGGAGTCATATCCACAGACACAAGCAGCTTATGGTCTAATGTAGAAGGGCCATCCAGCGAGACAGCATCTGCACTCACTGTCTTTCTGTGTCATCTCCTTGAGGCTCGCAGGAGCGCAGGTCACAGGATCTGTGCATGAAATGACACTGAGCAGTCTTCCTTGTCTCTGGTGCTAGGAAAGCTCAGTTCTTCCTTTTAAATCGGCAGCCCTACCTCCCCAGGACATTCAGCACCTTTACCTGCTCAGTATCTACATCAATACTGCTCGAATCTAGGGGTCTGGGAAAGGGGGTAAAGGAACACTCTTGGGGCCCACACCCTTCTTCACGCCTCCACATGTACCTTCTTGCTGCAGATGCTTGAGCGGCTCCCAACACGGGAGTCTCAAGTGGTCAGAAGCAGGTAGGCCTGTGGAAGTACCACTCTGTCCTCTTACGTCATTCGTGACCAAACTGGTTCAGGTCTTCACACTTAAAGATGGCCCCCATCACCCACGTGCCAGAAAATCGGCTCTTGTCTCACCTGGTGCACCATTTTGTTCCTTCCTTATTGTGTGAGATTATAAATGTCACCTACTAAGTTTAGTGGAACATACGAAGATTGTATTTCAGAGCCCTTGTCAGAAAGCTTTAGAAATGTGCACTTCTGAGTCAACCCCAACATCTGGTCAGAATTCTGTCCTTTGTCAGTTACTTAATCAAGAATGGCCCAAGAATTTCCCTCTCATGTTCTCCTCTCCAGATACTACTAGTTAAGGTAACTTCCCTCAGTTTTTTGGTCTGAAAACTAAGCCTGTGAGCAAAGGACCTTCCTAAGGGTTGAGGATGCATTGGGTATGTGATGATGACTGGGAAATCATCTTTCCCAGGAAATGCTTCCAATGCACAGAATTACCCCTTCATCATCTATTCTGGACATAACTTTCTCCTTTCCTGTTCCTCTAAGTGGAGTATGTAGTAGTCGAAGGTTAAGTGGTAATACTTCAACTCATAAATAAAATAAAAAACTCTGCCTAGAGATAAGGGACTTTGCCTGCATAGGTAGAATTTTGCTTGTGATTCAAAGATAAGGATTAACTCTGTTCTCTGGGCTAGTGTAAATAAGTCACAAGTCACAAACCATGGGGGACAGAGTGACAAAGACTCCCCTTAGTTAGAAGTATGCTCAAGGCCTCACTTCGCTTCCTTGTGGCTATACGACATGGCCCAGTGAGGTCCTTTCTTGGGCCTTGCTTTCCTCAGCCACAGGACAACAGGTTCGACTGGGTGAGCAAACCACCTTCCAGTGCTAATGTGTTATGATTCCAAGCGGACACTAACAACTGCCCACCCTGACTTTACATTGCAGGGACAGTGTTTGAGGGCAGATACAGAGGATCAGAAGAAACCACGCAGGAACTTGAGTTTGACATCTCAAAGTAACCCTCCACTTGTAATCGTCAGATGTGGCATTGGGAGTAATTAGCCATCTTCTTAGACCGGCAGAGTCTAAGATGGTGCTTGCAGACCGGGCAGCGCAGTCAGACGTGTAGCGGGGCGCTTCGGTAGAACCCCCCAGCCTGGCCAGGGGAGCTGGAGGAGCCTCCAGGCAGAGGCCCACGTCCAGGCTTGGCATGTCCAGATCAAAGCCCAAATGCAGCTTTGCCACTGCCTCTCCTGCACAGCTCACCCAGAGCTGATGCCCTCAGGAGCGAGAATCCATGGCAGTCCAAGACAAATCTGTTCATTTGGAGGCTGATTATAGAAACTTAGCCAGAATTCTCCCCTCCCTCCCATTCCCAAAAGATGTAGGGAGCAAACGGGGCTGTCACCAAGGAGAAGTGAGGAGGCAGCCCCAGAGGAGGGGAGCTCCAGGCCTCACGCCCCAGGGCACCTGCAATCACAAGAGCCTCTCACCCAAAGTGGCGTGGGCCTCGGACATGCCATTTGGACTCCACTATCTGTACACTCTGCCACTGAGGCGTGTCTGTCGTCAGGTGTGGTTTACTCGGGGTTTTCTCTGGAAGCTGTCAGGAACTTCAGAGTTGGAAGATTTCACCAGGAGGAAAGTAATGCTAAGGAAACCCTCCGGGAGAGAAAGTTCGTGGACTTTGAGAGGAAGATCTGAGATTTAACCCGAGTGGAACATCTGGGACTGAACTGTTTCACTTGACCCTGCTTTCCCCTCAGCTGTGCTTCCAGCAGAAAATAGGACCCGGTTTCTGTGCTCGGAAGGGGCGCAGTCTAACCGTGTCTCAGTCCCGGGGCAGGCTTCTTCTGCCCACGCACTTCGGGCACTGGGGGGATGGGTAATTCTGGTTGTGGGGGACTCTCCTGGGCACTGGAGCATTAGCAGCAACCTGGGCTTCTGCCCACTAGATGCCTGTGGCAGTCCCCCCTTATTGTAGCCCAAAATGTCTCCAGACATGGCCAAAACTGCCCCTGATCGAGAACTACTGCCCCGAGGACTGTACACGGTTTTCCTAGGCCTGGACTGATGTTTCCCACTCGGATTGCGGGATTCTAGAGTTCCAGAGCACGTGCCCTGGTCTTTATTCTACTGCAGTACGACATTTTCAGTCTGGTGATGGCTATCCCGAAACAATAGGGTTGGGGTTACTGATACAGAACAATCAAACCCAAGAGAAACTCTGATCCCCATATTTTTTTAGCACTTGAGTCTGTTTTTCATATACTTCAGTGTGTCTGAGGCCAGGAGCCGTGGGGACAGAGAACTGCCCACCCGTAAGATGACACATCGCTGTGTCAGGGTCCAGACGTCTCACAGGTAGCACCTTTCTTCAGAATCCCTTCATCGTTCTCCTCCTTCCCTTTTGTACAGGTTTTCTTCTGTAAGTGTTGTTTTTTGTTGCCTTTGGTGAAAATGCCCACTCTTTACGGAGAGGTCCAAGTCATACCAGGCACTTTTTTCATCTCTCAAAAGGTGCCCCTTCTAAGTGGCACAGACGGAAACTGGAGCTGAAGAGGAGAAATAAGACTCCTCATTTCCTTAAGGTGGGACCCCGGAGGGAGGGAACACATCCTGGAACCACTGTGGGTACGGCAGGAAGTCAGGTGCCCAGCGTGAGGAAGATGAAGGACTACGGAGGCAGATTTACAGTCCAGAGGCACAATTCTTGGTTCCTTTAAAAATAGCCTCTTAGCCACAGACACCAACCTGGGTCCAGACAGTGATGGGTAATCCCGAAAGGGCCCGTCAAACACAGATGTTGTCTAGCCCGATTTTCAACATGTCAGGAGCCAGAGGAAGCCAAAGTTTCTATAATCAAGTCTTTAGTGGGCCTGCTCTGAGCAGCTGCATGACCCCCGCCCGAGACAGAGCCGGCGGGGGCACCTTCAGCCAAGGGTGTGGCAGGGGGTGGGGGTGGGGCTCCCACCCACCTCGAATGTGTGGAATAGCATGATTAGAATCGCTTGACCCTAAGGAGACTGGGTAGTTTCATGAAACCTTTAAAGAAGAAACAGAGAAAGAAAAGAATCTTACAAAGCTAAGATGGCTAATTATCTAATTTTTTAAACCAGAATGTATGCTTTGTGGTCATTGACCTTGTGTTTCTAAAAGTCCCTTTTTGTAAATAAAGTCTATGAGATGGGAAAGTATCAGTTCTTCCACAGTACACAAACGAAGGACCAGAGGAGTTCCTACCTTCCAACTCCCCCGGGTACAGGGGGCTGAACAGTCAGGCATAATCGTCAAACATGCTAAGCAGGCAAGTCCCAGTCCCTTCATCTAAGGCAATTTAGTGTTTTCTGAGCACACCCCAAGTCAGGCACTGCGGGGAACAGGAAGCCCCACCACGCGTGTTGTCTTGCTACTAACCACACACCTCCGGCAGAGAGCAGACTGTGTGCAGAAAAGCAGTGGGCAGAGGCGTCAGGCGAACAGCCCGAACTGCGTGCACGTGCACACGCGGAAACATGGTGCAGGGCCTCCCTCAGCCCGGCAGCCTCTGTCCTGTGCTTGCACTGTTGACTTCGCCCACACTATCCCCTTTGGGATGCCCCTGACCTCCTCCAACTGGGGAATTCTTTCAAAGCCCAATTCTAATCATGTCCTCCTGGAAGTCTTCTCCATTCCCCTGAAGGTGTGTTACGGGAGTAACGTGTTCGCCGCTGTGCGTCTTAGCGCACCACCGGGTGCTGATTTATTACTATGCAGAAAAAGAAAAAGATGTCTGTACCATCCACACTACAAGCCCCTTAAGGAAGGGATGACTGTGACTGGCATCGTGCCTGGTGCTCACGACGTCTGAAAAAATGTGACCAATCTGGCTCCCTGCCTCTCCCCTCACCAGTGTCTTCTCTGCAAAACAATTTGAACACAAGCCTGGCCAATTGTTAAATATTAGTTCTGTCTAATTTTGTTATCAATTTGCCGACAGCATTAAATCGATTCATTTGTTTAAGAAAACTTAAAGATCAGAACTTAGTTGCCAAGTTTTGAAAGCCTGACGGGGAGCTGCCTAGAGGTGCTTTCTGTGCTCTGGCCCGACAGGGATGGAAGGCCCAGTCCCACCACCCATCGTTCCTTCGGCTCCGGCAGACCGGCTGCAGAGGGAGCTGGCCATACCGCCCACCCCCAGGGCGCCCCTCGGGGCAATGTGGCTCTCAGGGCTGCAGGGATGCGACCTGGAAGGCAAAGCCCCTAGTCCCGTCATGGTTGCAGAAAACCGGTTCCCTCGTGTAATCCGGTGGGAATCTTTTAGGCAGATTTATAAAAATTACTTCTTTCTTCAGTTATTTGTTTACAGTGTGAATAAGTAAAGGTCCCCAGTTAAATATGTCCTCCAAATACAGGAATGTTCTGTGGTGACGGGAGGCATCTTCCTCCATCAGAAGGGGGCAGCTGGCATGTGGGCTGCTTGAGTCTATGACTTGTATGCAGCATAATGACAAGAGTTTTGCCATTTGAAACTGGATTACCAAAACTCTGCCTGCCTCTATTTTCACTATGTAATATGTCACCTACCAAAACACTCCATACTTTAAAATAATACTTTGAAAAGGATCATATTCCTCTTTATTAAAAATTCTGTTTGAATAAACAGAATTGCAAATATACCTAGAAAATGCTAGACTTGTTCCAGGAACCTCAAGCTGTGTCAATGAGGCGCTTGTTCCTCCGGCTGGACCTTTCTGTTTGCGCTTGAGGCTTCAGAAGACCTCAAAAGCAGTTAAGCCGCATCCTTCGGTCCAGCAAGATGCCAGTGGAAGAGCCAGCTCCTGAGCCAGCCAGACCAGGTAGCGATGCCCCTGTGGCAAGCAGCTTGCCGATCTCCTCTGGGGTCTGCCCCTTCCTGGTGAGGCATGTGACAGCCAAGCCCCTCTGTGTCTATGTGGTTTCCTCCTGTGTGTTGTATTGCTCTGTCTCTGCTCGCCCTGACTCAGACCAGAGCTCCTTACGGTAAGCAGATGCTCCCCCATGTCTGTCTGGTGGGCACCCTTTTACCAGCCAGCTCAGCGAGTCCCTTCGCTACTTCCTCATCCAGTGGCTCTCGGCAGCCACCTCTGTCAACCAGCCTGTCTTTTTCTCCCATCTGTCCCATTGATCTTTCCTGGGAACCGCTCGTCTTATTCACTGTTCAGAAACAAAACATTTCTTTGTTTAGTCTGCAGAGGAATGTCTCTAGCTCTGTCTCTCCTGTGCCATCTTTGAAGCAAGTTCTTGAGAGTATCCCAGAGGCTCTGCTGTGACACAGGCTTTGGTCTGCCTCTCTGGGCCTTAGTTCTCCAGTCGCCTCTAGCAGCTCTCCCTCCGCCCCCTCAAGTCTCCTTGGCTGTTCTACTTTAGTTAGTAGGTGCTTTGGTAGCTGCCTCCAGCCCTACCCATGGGACCCCAGCACTGTGGGCTTCATCCAGCTCTGCAAAGAAGCCCTGCTTCCTTGATGGTTGGTGCCATCTCAACTGGCAGGGGTTGGCATCCCAACATCTTCCTGCCATGGGCTGCCCATGGGGGTAATTCCTGTCGTTTAGCGGGTTATGCTCTTGCTTGCTCAGTCAGGCTGCTTTGTTTTCGCTGCAGCAAAGTCTTAGCTGAAAGCATCTGTCCCAGTCTCTAGGGCTTTCCTTGTCTTCATGGTTGCTCTGTCTCCTTTCACTGTCTCTAAGAGAGGTGACCCAGGCCCTGGAGTAAGGAAACTGGGCTAAAGCCCTGGGTAAATTTAGGCTGTTATTTATAGGGCCTAATACAGCCAAGGGCACTGCTCAGTGAACCAGGAAACCAGAGTCTCCCTCCAGACAAGACACCAAGGTTCATGAGGCAAGTCCCACCCCTGGAGGCCCTGCTTCTGCAGACTTTGCCCAGCTCCCTCAGACTGGGCAAGGAGCATCTCCAGCCCTGGAGCCGGCTGCTCAGAGGTCTGCGGCCTCGTGGCTCTCAGGATGTCTGAGCCAACTGTGAAAGTAACAACTTCAGAAACTGTCCAGTTTGGTCGGCTTAGCCAAGTGGTTGGGCTTACTAGTAACAGTCTTCTGTGGTGAGAACTAGTTTGGTACCACAAGCATCTGGAGTTTTAGGAAGAACAAATGTGTATTTCATCAACAGGCTTAGAAAGGAAACCATGACTAGTTAGGGGTTTTCTGGGTTGTTGCTGTTTTTAAGATTCCAGAGGCCCTGTCTGCCTCTAGGTACCTTAAAAAGAAAAAAAAAATTGCAATGCGCAGAGGCCCAGCCATGCAAGGAACAGAGCGTATGCTGTGCAAATTCTTGACACTCTTCCCAGGGGCAACTCATGCCCCGAGTGTCTCCCCAGGTCACAGACTGATGCTTGTGTTCAGGTTACAAGAGGAGGCCTGGGGCAGGCAGGCAGGCCAGGGGAGCCACTCTCTGCCACTTGGGAGGCCATGGGCTACTGGTGGTGGCTGACAAGAGCCAAGAGAACAGGTCACCCTGTCCTTTGTGGATAGCTCCCCTCCATACGGGCTCAGTTCACCCTTACAACAGCCCAGGACCACCTGGGGAAGCCAACCGGAGGGGCTGCAGACTCATTATGAGATTGTGGAGGACAGCAGTCGGGAAAGGACACAGGGCCGATGGCTCCCAGGGATCAGCCAGCCTATGGCCCCACGACGGAAGGGGTGAGCAAAACCTCACCCTGCAGCTTCGGGTCTGTTCCCTAGGTTGTCCAGTGGCCCAAGGGTAAGTTCCTGGCCCCCTGCTGCATCTTATACTTGGTCAGGGCTCACTCAAGGTGTCGGCTGCCTCAGTGGGCTCTAAGGACACATGCTCTGCTTAGTGTCGGGCTGGGTGGCCACCTTCCATTTCTGGCCTGGAACAAGCACCCCTCCACACACACACATACACGCACACACTAGAAGTTCCTACTAAAGTCAGGGAACCACCAGACAAGAGTGTATGTATAAACAGACTTTCTTTAGAAGGAGGACTGATTGGGAGAATAGGGAACAGTTCTACGAATCTGGAAGAAGCAGGCTGGGCAGCCCAGGGGGACTTCATGACTGGGCTTCTTGGTCTTACTGAAGACGATAGTCACCCATGACCTTCCCAGGGATGTCCCTGACTATGGGATCTCTCCTTAGATAGTTGGACACTATTTCAGCCCCACTTATCTGCAACAATAACTTGCTGAGAGAAGCTACAGTCCTGTGCTGCTGGTTCCGCACAGCACAGAAGGGAGACTGGCATGGAACAGGAGTTTCTTCCGTTCATCCAGTGGGGCCAGAGTGAAAATAGAACCAAACCATGACAAGACGAGATGGGACAGGGCAAAATCTGGTGACAGGTTCCAATCTGGTGCTGCCCCAGCCAGCCAGAACATGGCAGGTTCCTCACTGAGGAAGAGGGGTAGGTACCAGAGAGGCAGATAAATCTGCCCAAGTAGACTCTGATTCTTATCCTTCCTCACCTTCCACTTTGGCCACTTTGTATCAAAAGCTGGAGTCTTGGCCAAGCCAGGAGATGCTGTGACTAACAAACATCAGAGGAGGGAATCACGGTGTGAATCCCCTGGGTGGGCCATTCCCTCTACCCCATCTGCGCAAGCCCAGTACCTCCAAACAAAATGTGGAGCTTCGATGCATTGGTCAAACCTACCACGGTTTGGCTTGGTTAATTTTCGATCTTTTCCTCTCCTTTTGAAGTGCAAGACCCTACCTACGCAGGACTGAGTCTGGGTATGTGGCCGTCTGGCCGTGCATGTGCAGCTGGTGATCGCTGTGATTCCCCGTGTGATCGAGCCTGTGATACTTCCTGCCCATCCTCTGTGCTTCTCTGTGCTGTTGCTCTGGTTCCTGGCACCTTCTCACTGTGAGCCTTACTGTCAAATCACTCTGTGATTCAAAGATGAACTGCCAATCAAACGCTCCCCTAACGAAAGACCTAATCACTCTATATAGCATGCGTACAAAGAACCTATCTAAGATCTTCTGTTGGTCATGGTAGAAAGCCATTGCCTAAAAACATACCTGAGCCCAATGTGGAGGTCAGGTGGCTGGCTACTTGACCTTGAGGATGGACCCCTGGTTGTTTTGGACTACAAGGACTGTGCAATGGAACTTGGGTGGCAACCCTGATAAAGGGGCAACCTAATGGGCCGTAAGCCCAGCAAGCAGCAATGGAGTAAGTTCTTAGCCTGTACCCCAGGTTTCTCAAAGTGTGGTGCATGGACCACACACATCAGCATCAGCCAGAGGTGTTTGGTTAGAATGCAGATTCCTGAGCTCCACCCCAGACTGACTCAGTCTATGAGGGTTGGACTCAAAAAAAGTCTACATTTTAAACAAGCTCTTCAGATGGTTCTGGTGCAAATTTGAGATGCCCTGCTGGAGATGACCACACTTTGCAAACGGTCCCCTCTAAGTACTCCGGCCAGTCCTGCTAAGCCAAAGACCAGAACCTGAGACCACATGTGGAGAAATCACACCTTTTGCTGGATGATTGTGCAGCTGTCATTTGACTTTACACCCAGGTATCATCCTTTCAGTGGCTCTGGCTGGCGCTCTTGGCATCTGCATCATCCTGGCAGTATCCATTTGGCTTTTCAGAAAGAAGAGGAGGTGAGCTGGTTTTGCTTTGCAATGGGAGTGGGTGGCTTATGTGCCTATGAGGAAAAATCTGTCTGGGAAGGCAGCCTGCATGGTGAAGAGCCCCTGTCACCTGTACCAACACTTATCCTAGGAGCCATGGTTCCTTTGAATGAGATGCTGGTCGTTCAAGGGTCATTGTGCTTAGAGCTAAGGTGAGTCTGCCAGCCTTGCTGTCACTGCTAAAGCTCTGGACAAGCCTCTTGCTTTGGCGGGGTGGTCCCATTTGCCTAAATATAAGCAGCAAGACTGTCTTCCTTCTAAGAGCTATACATTTATTGGGGTGACATTGGTTCATTAAATAGGTTTCGAGTGTACAATGCTATAATGCATCATTGGTATATCACACTGTATTCACCCCCCTATAAAGTCTAGACTGCTTCCATCACTATTTATCCTCTTTACCCCCTTCTACCTCCCCCGGCCTCCCCTCCCTCTGATAATCACCCTACTAAAGTCTGTGTCTATGAAGTTTTTCTTAATCCCTTCACCTATTTCACCCAACCCCCCAACCTGTGGTACCCCCCCACCAACTGTCAGTCTGTTCTATCTGTGGGTCTGTTTCTATTTTATTTTGTTCATTAGATCCCACATGTAAATAAAACCATAAGGTACTTGCCTTTGTGAATCAAAAGTGAAAGTGAAAGTGAAGGGAAACCTGATTTATCATTCACATGAGTTATTAATTCCCTTTACTTATGTTTTTGTTGTCATGTTCATTTTTTTCTAAAACCTAATTTATTTTTCCTGCTGTGAAAAAAAAAACAACATTGTCAGGAACTCCGCTATGGAGTGCAAGGTTTGACGCGGGGACAGAAATGAGACCTACTTCAAAATGCAGGCCTAGTATTATCCGGTGTTAAAGAAGAACAGTTGGAAAATGAACAGGTTCCATTCTGGTTCATCTTTACCTGCAGCCATTCTCTCCTAAAACCAACAGAACTGGGGAAAGGCCCCCACAAGAGGAATCTGACCCTTAGAACTTGCCCCATTCCACAGGTGAGCCAGGCTGCGCTCTATCTCTCTCTCCTCTTTGACTAACAAGACTCTTGTGTTCTTATTGTTCCAGTAGCAAAACAGGTGACAGCAGTAAGGGAGTCATTTACAAACCGGCCATCAAGAAGGAGACTGAGGCCCACGCCTGAGGCCCTGGTGCTCCAGGCCCATCCAAGGAAGGACTTTGCTTTGGACAGTACACACTGTGTCTCCCTGGACACTTGAAATACCCCAGGGTTCTCTGGAGCTCACCCTGCAGAAGGCCAGAACCCTGCGGTGCCCCTAGCTGGGTGCCCCACCATCTGGATGCTATGGCCACTCACAGTGCAGTCGTGGATGGGAAGAGCTCGCCAAGGAGGCAGGGACTCTGAGCTGTCTGCTTCATCTGCATGAGACCAGTAAGAGGTCTGGGTTCTGGGGACACAAACCATGTTCCTTGGTGGGGCTGTTATTAATTCAAAACCACTTTTATTCAGGGGCTCACTCAAGTATGGTTTCAAATGTCCTGGAAATTCCACTCCTTGTCCCAGCCTTCAAACCAGAATGTATGCCCTCTGCTTAGGCTCTGCTGTTGATACTCAACTGTGTTTTCTCAGGGAAGGTGCTGCTGCCTCACTCTCATTTCCTTCTGCTGTGACAAAACCTTTAGTCTAACCTGGCAACTTGGGGTGTTGTGGGGGGCCATGGGGGTGGGAAGCATTGATACAGGAGGGGTCGAGGTGTCTGAGACAAAAAGAAAACAAGATATTCTTCAAAAGACAGTAGAGGCATTTTCACAGTTGTGTCCTTTAGATCAGACAGACCTTAGAGAGAGACACGTAAGATCTGAAAACTCTCGGGAGCCGTGTGTGTGAGAAGCACAAGCATTAGGCCCAAGCCCAACCTCCTACCAGTATGGTGGTTACATTTCATACCCTCCAGAGTTTTATAAACCATTAGGCTGCTCCTTGAAAATGTGCTGCTGCTTTCTCTCTCCTAGACGAGATATGAGTACTGAGAATCTAGAGAAAACAGGCAGATTCAAAATGATTGAAGAGCTTTGTCTCTTGTGCCCAAATTTCATTTCTGCCACCTTTGTGGGGTCCCTACTGTCAACCCAGAACTGGGACTTACCTACTTCTCTGACCGTGAGGATGCTGAACCATGGCTTGCTTAAAATAGACTTTCAAGGCATAACAGCAGGAAGTTATCTGTGCTGGGGCTGGCAGTGTGGTATGTAGGGACCACACTAAGGGGATGTTACATAGGGTCCTTGTGGTCTTCCCCCAAAGTCCCAAAGGCAGTTTATGAGAAGCCTGAATTCCTTCACTCCCCTCCCACTGATGCAAGACCCCATGGGGACATCTTAGATCCACGACTAAGCAGGGGTCCCCACCACCCGCCTCCCGCAGTCAGCACCTCGCAGCTCCCAGAGAACTTCCAGTTCACAGCCCCACGCTGACTGACAGCAACGAATGTCCTCTTGAAGCACCGGTTTCTTTGTCATCATTTTCCTTCTGTTCCTCCCTGACTCTGAGAGGTCTTTCTCTACTGTCACAACCTTTCGTAGCAACGCAAGCCCTATGCCTCTGTAGCTTGTTTGCTAGGCAGAGTTACACATGACCTCCTGGAGACCTCTGACAGTGCTGGGGCCTGGGCCGGCATCCCACTCCTGCTTTTAACGCCCCTGATGCTGAGCAAATGACAGCAGGGACAACCCCCGTGACCGAGCAGTGTGAATTAGGGAACGCTTTCTTGGCCTTGGCCCAAAGTTGCCACTCAGAAACCAACACAAATGGCTCCAGAGCCAAGGGACCAGGTCAGAAAACTCTCCACACCTTTTACAGACCAACTTTGTGAGGGAACAGAGAGATCACTGTACCTGACACAATGGCTTTCATAAGAAGAAAGAAGTGCTGGCTAGTGACAACAACGATATTTCCCTTGTCCTCCTCCCCCTTGGCACAGCCGGGCCCCTGTTTCTGCCCCCCCCCCCCCCCGTGGTTGAGACAAAGCAAAGCCAAGGAAACAAACACAAGGATCCCAGAGTCAATAGGTGACTGCCCTGCTAACCCTGAAGGGTCTCCTGAGGCTCTACCTTAGGAACTGGGAAACGTTTCCTCAAATTTAACTCATTCACTGACACCAGTTGCCACGAAAGGGAACCAGTGCCATGGTGAGGGACACAGGAAGGCCCCAGCTTATCTGCCTCTCGCTAACGCAGGTCTTGAGTCTCTCTGCTTTGCTTCTTTAGTGTCATCTGCTGAAGACCATTCAAACTGATACCTGTTTTCTTAACAGACATTCTAGGGTTCTGCTGCATTCACTTCCCTCCCACTCCAAGTTCAGACCTTGAACTCTTCCTGCCTACAGTGAGCCCTCTGCAGGCCTCCTGGCTGGCCCCTGGGGGCACATGGTTCTGCAGCAGCCCTCTGTCCCTGTGCCCCAGATGGACCATAGGCCACTATGATGAAGGTCCATTCAGCACTTTTGTGTGTATTGTATGAATGACTGTAATGAAGAAGCACACTGTAAATATGAGAAATTATAAATTAAAGTTGTTCACATGAGACTGGGTTTTTCTGGAGGTGAAGTTAAAGCACTACTATTGGCAAAGCACTTTGGAGTTTCCTATCTATGGTGGTAAGTAACCAGTCAGAATGAATAATCATGTCATTTGCATCTGGGTCTTAGAACATGGCTCCAAAGGAAAACACAGTGAGGTACCCAATCACTTTACTGAGCACGGAGGCCTGCGGCTGTGCTGCCCCAGGGTCACACAGATCACACTCAGGGCAGCTGGGAAGTCTAGGGTGTTTAGGGAAACAGCCTGGGAAAACAGTCAGATTTCAACAGATGTTTGGAAAAGATGGAGACATTCTTAACCATGGTGCCATGAGTACAGGAACCGAGTCTTATTCTCTTTACTGGGTTTTGTACCCAGTAGGCTGGTAGTCTTCCTTGGTTGCCTGACTGACTGTTACCTTGTTTTGAATCCTTTTTGCAAAACATGCTACCACCCTCCATATGATCTTTTTTGTCTAATTTCAGATTTCACATTCTGGTTTGCTAAAGCAGGCAGTCCTCTGAAGGTTACAAATAGGTCCATCAACGTTTGTTTGAGTTACTTAGAGAAGCTTCCAGCTTTCACTTCAGTGGCCCTAGGACCGAGACAAGTGCAAAAGACGTCATCTGCCTTCTCTCTCCACAGTCTTCCTGCCCCTGTTGCCTGAGCTCAAGATTCACCTGCAAGGATGCTCAGGAAGTGTGGTGGCCAGGGCCAAAAGTTGGCAGAGGAGTCTCAAGTCCTCCTTCAGTTTGGCCATTACCTCCTCACTGAAATCCAGCTAAGAGGACAATCTAGAGCTCACAGTCCAGCAGAAGTACTATAAAATATAATGTAAGGCACGTGACATTTCAAAGTTCTAGCAGCCCCACCAAAGTAAAAGAAACCAGTGACATTAATTTTAATATATTTTATATAATGCAATAGATACAAAATACCATAATTTCAATATGTAATCAGTATTTTACTATGAAATATTTTCATTCATTTTTTTCATAGTAAGTCTGAAATCATAGTAAGTATTTTACACTTCTAGACCATCCCATTTCAGTTGCTAAATTTTCATTGAAAGTAATTGATCTATATTTGGACTTCATAAAATTTACACTCAGAAAAGCAGATTCACATACTTCCTCCCAAGACACTTTTTCCAAGTAATTGAGTCAATCAGCTTTTAAATTTAAATGCATTAAAATGAAATAAACTGAGTTTCTCAGTCTCACAAGCCTCCCTCCACGTGCCTGGTGGCCGCACGTGCCAGGGCCAGTGCAGCCACCGTGCGGGTGTGGAAAAGTGACCTCTCCCTTTGCAAACCCTATGAGCTGGTTAAACCTAGAGGACTTCTGCACAAGAATAAACCCTGGCAGAAAGCTCTGGGGAGGGTGTGGGGTGGGGGATGGGGAATGGGAGGTAGAGAGTAGGGGTATCGAGGAAGGCAGATATGGAAGGCAGTAGAAAAGAGGGCTAATGGAAAATCAGGCAAGGCTGGCTGGTGTGGCTCAGTGGATTGAGAGCCAGCCTGCGAACCTAAGGGTCACTAGTTCAATTCCCAGTCAGGGAACATGCCTGGCTGAGGGTACATGAGGCATCCACACACTGATGTTTCTCTCCCTCCCTTCCCCTCTCTCTAAAAATTATATTTAAAAATATCAGGCAAGCCAGCTTGGGGCATCCCAGGGCCTCGTCAGGACGTCAGGCTGTGGACACAAATGCGAATGGTTACCTGCAGGGGCTAGGCAGGGAGGCATGGGCAGGGTTACCTGAGGTAGGTCCCTGGCCAAGTGCTAGCTGCAACCCCACCCAACCCCCATCTCCTCAGAGCTCTAAACATCCTGCACTTGACCACCTGGTGTCTTCACTCTTCTGGAGCCAGCCAGTCCCAAAGGGGTGAGCACCTGCAACCTCAGTCTCTTGAATTGTTAGCTGTGCCCCTATTAGAATAAGCCATCTTCCTGTCTTCCTGTCTTCCTTCCTTTGAGGTGTGGGAAGAAGTCTTGAGACCCACTTATAAGAGGAAACTGGACCTCTGGGGCCACCTGTGGGGAAGCGGAGGCGTCACCTATGCAGTGGGCACCATTCAGCCTCATCATCCATGTCCACACTGGAAATGGCCTGGCAGGGATACATGGCCAGGGAGCAGAGGCAAGGTGTGACACCGCCGCAGAGGAGGAACCCCGTGCCTCACCTGTGCCCTTTCATTACAGAGTGACTGCTTTAAGGGCCCACGGTGGTATGGAATTATTCACCATAAAAACTTAGTGCAAGCAGGTCAGAATATCGTTACGACTGCAGGTCAACCAGGGAGTCAGGATTGCCTCCTACTTGTATAACCTTGACCATTTCAATGCACCTGCACTCCAACGATCCTGGGAAAGAGGGAGCACTGCCTGTATCTTGTAAGTGGGAAACTAACCAAGGGCTCCGACTCTGGGCTAAGTCAAGGTCACGCAGCTCCTGCAGTGCTAGGATCTTCAGTGACAATGTGGGGTCCACCTTCCACAGCTCCAGTGACATGGAAACATCTTCTTACAACAGAATTTACTATATTTATCTCAGTCACATTGTAACCTCATAAAACCCCTCAGGCTAAAGGCACTAAAGTCATCTGTGCCAATGATTTCTGGAAAATCAGCAACAACCTCTTGTATCCAATCTGACTGGCAACACTAAACCCTGGCCTCTGTTCAGGGAAGTCTGACCAAGGAGGGACAAATGCAAGTAAGCAAAGAGGTCAGCTCGGCTCCTGGGATGTTACCCTTACCTCCTAATTCAGCAGAACAGTTTCCCAGGGGCACATTCACTGAACTTTCTCTTTTCCAAAGGCTGAACTGGAGAGAAGGAATAAACACACCCACACACAACTCCATCTGTACAAAATTCTAAAATACGCAAACTAAACTACAGTGACAGAAAGCAGATCAATGGTTGCCTGGGGATGAGGTGGGGGATGGTGGGGGATGGTGGGGGATGAAGGGACTGCAAAGGGGTACAGAAATTGTTCAAGTGATGGATGTGTTCATTACCTTGATTGTGGTGATGGTTTCTCCACATATGTCAGAACTGTTCAAATTTTACACTTTAAATATGTGCCCTTTATCTTGTATCAGTAATAACTCAATAAAGCTGCCCCCAAAAGGAGGTACACCCTGATACCTCCCCGCCCAGCCAAACGATGCCCTGCCGCACCCCGGCACTTCCCTGCAGAGCGCATCCTCCCAGTGCACGCAGGAGGAGCAGCCGGTGGGGGCAAGCCCAGGGGGAACATGAGCTCTGTTCACCTGGCTGGGTATGGCCTCTCGGTACTCTAAGTCACAGTCATTATTTCTGCTGAGTTCACTCATTCCAAATATTAACTTTTAACTAACTGCAATGAAGACAACAAACACAGGGCCTATGGGTTCAAGGGCAGACTGAGACCTCTATAGCAGCTCCATGTCAGTGACTACAGAGTGAACTGGCTTCTCCGGGAGGAGAAGAGTCCCCTGGTGAGTCAGGTAACAACCAGTCAGTCTATCGGCTGAAACTAGTGTCCCAAGCTACCTAGACAATCAACAGCAGCTCTCACGTGTCTTAGTTTCTCTCCTTCCCAACTATCCAACACATAACCATCTGAAAATCTTTCCTGAATATGGTGCAACCTTTCTGTGGAGAACACACATGGCTAGGAACTTACTCCCTGCCACTAGCCACTGGGTGAATGGGGCAAAAATCTCCTGTGATACTGTGATACACTAAGAAATACATATTTGGTCCCCAGTTCCTGGCACAAAGTTCCTAAATCTTATTCAAAGTAAGCCCCTCTGCCACACCTAAGTTTGTGCTAAAGAGGTGATGCTGGACGATGGGGGGGCTGCTTGCCACAGGAACCAACCATGTGATTAGTGGGTTGGTACTTTCGGCCCCACTCCCTGACCTTCAGGGAGGGAAAGGGGGCTGGGAGTCTAGTTTAATCACCAGTGGCCACTGATTTCATCAGTCAGGCCTACCCAGTGGAACCTCCGCGAGAACCTTACACTGCAGCCTCCAATATGCAATGGGCCTGAGCCTGGAGAGGGCACAGAAGCTCTGGCCCCTTCCCCAAACCTTGACTTCTGTACCTCTTTACCCGGCTGTTCATCTGTATTTTTTGTAATAACCTTTATAATAAACTGGTAAATACAAGTAAATGTGAGCTGTTCTAGCAAATTATCAGACCTAAGGAGGGATCATGGGAACCCACAATTTAAAACCAGTTAGTCAGAAGCACAAGTGACAACCTTGGACTTGCAATCGGAGTCTAAAGTGGAGGCAGTCTTGTGGAACAGAGCCCCTGATTTGTGAGGTGTGCGCTAACTTTGAACAGTTACTGTCAGAACTGCGACACAACGCAGAACATCCACAGCTGGGGCCTACAAGAACTGGAGAACTCCTTGGTGGGGAAAATCCACACATTTGGTGCCAGAAGTATTATGAATAACCCTTTCTTTCTCATACCTCCTTAATTCAAAAGCGAAGATTTAATGAACTTCTGTTTGCTAGGCACAGGTTAAGTGAGGGGGGTGCAACTATGATTTAGATAGAGTTCCAATATTCAAGGATAATTAGTATCACGGTCTGACTTGGGGAGGCAGGCAGAAACCACTAATCATAATACACAGAAGAGAAGTATGAAGAGGATACTAGGTGTCCACCAAGAGAAAAATGGCTAAACAAACTGCAGAGCTGTAAGATGGAACCCTACTCAGCAAAAAGTTGCAAAGTATGGCTGTATACAAACACATGGATGACTCTCAGAAAATTATGTTGGGTGACAGAAGTCAGACAGAACAGAGTACATTTTGTGTTATTCCATTTGTACGAGATTCAAAACAAGTGACAGTAATCTATGGTGACAGAAGCTGGAACCAGCAGTCCTCTGTGGAAGGCGGAGAACCATCCGGGGAAGAGGAAATGCTCTATGTCGCCATGGGGTGGTAGTTACACAGGTGTGCACATTTGTCAGAACTCCTCTAATTATACACTTCAGATCTGTGCACTTTACTGTATATAATTATTCCTTGATTTTAAAACATGCTAGGGAATCACAGTGGAGAAAGCCACTTGCTTTTCTGAGTCTAATCAGGGAAGACTTCACAAACAGTCACATATTCCAAATATACTCACTCTTTTTAAAGGCCATAAAGTGTTCTGCTCTCTGAGGCAAAGCTCTATTGATAAACATTTGTTGTAGATTCATTACAATTACCTGAGGAATGCATAACTCCTCCACTGGTTTACAAGTTAGGTGCAAAAAACCCTTCATCCCACCCTGGCTGGTGTGGCTCAGTGGACTGAGCGCCGGCCTGCAAAACAAAAGGTCACCAGTTCAATTCCCAATCAGAGCACATGACTGGGCTGGGTCCCCAGTAGGAGGCGCATGAGAGGCAGCCACATACTGATGTTTCTCTCCCTCTCTTTCTCCCTCCCTTCCCCTATCTCTCCCTCCCTTCCCCTCTCTCTAAATAAATTAATTTTTAAAATCTTTTTAAAAAGGCTCTTGGTCCCTAAGGATTATTTCATTTAATAACACAGTCAGTATAAACCTGGAGCAGTCTCATTTCAAATCAGAATGAACAGGCATCACATGGTTTTGAGTTCCGGGTCACAACAAATTTCTGTGTGGCCTTTCTAATGGCAAAGGCCAAGCTCGACCTCTTGGCTGCATGGCCTCCTCACCAAGGAGAAGAAAAACCAGGGGACTCTACCGGCTGCGCAGGGTCACTTGGTAGAAACTAAACTGTGCTCTCCTTGCCAATCAACTCCCATCTTCAGCCACAATTATATGATACTCTGTAAATTCACTATTTTACAATTAGATTTTTCCAGGTGAGGTTCTGGGACCTTTGAGGATTCTCCTCCATTTAAGCTTTAAGACGTCTCAATGAACTTCTATGCACCAAAGTGTTTCTGAACACCAGTGTGTTCAGAACAGAGAAATGAAAAGGCCTCATGATTTCACATCAGACAGCAGAGATTTATCTTTGAAAAAGGTCTCGGAGCTGACCAGTCATAAACAATAGAATGTACAGCCAAGTTTTATGAGGGACAAAAACTGTGATGTTAACAGATACTGAAGGACACATTATCCCCAAAAAGAGGAAACATGGGAAGTTAGTAGTGCCAAACGATGTTCTTATTGTTCACTAAAAAATGCCGGTCTGGAAAGAGTCTATTGCACTGTGTGATGAACACGAGGTCTGACAGTGCGAGTACGTGCGACGACAGTGAAACGCGGAAGATGGTACACACTGCACCTAGAGTGCCCACCTCTCCAAGGACTAAAACTTGATAGAATGAAGTAAAAAGCCACTTATTAAATGAGCAATGTAAACACTGTAGTCACAAACGAAGTGCTCTGAGCAAAGCACCTTGAAACTGTTTTGTTGTGACATCTACTCGGTCTACCGAGATTTACGAATGGTGGGGACCAGGAAAAACTTAGCTAACAAAAACCTAGCACTCTCAAGAAGTGCTCAGGAGTGCACTCTATGGATAAGAAGGAAAACCGGCATTTCTGAGGGAACCTAACACTCTCAGCAAACTCTGGAATGTTTTTAGAATGAAGACATTAACACTGGGAACAAAAACCATTTCCTATGCGGTCTGCAGATATCATCACTTGTTCTTTTCAGCTCCATTTTCATTAAGATGCACTGAAAGGGGCTACCCTGCCAGTTAGGCCAGGATCAAAGTAACAAAACTTCTCCAGTTACTACCACCAATTTGAATTAATTTAAAGTAAATACACATTTATTAGAGAGCAATGAAATCAATCTCTATCATTCACATGGCAACATATTCAAGAGCTGCAATGATAATTCACATTCCAAGGTCAACTTTATTATACCTACATTTCCCTCCAAACTGAGAAAGTTCTGTGTGGAGGGCAGCATACATCACCACCGCCTCCTCCTCTCCAAACACTATCAGGATTCGGAAAGCTTAGTGCAGACACCAGTGTTTGAAAGTTGCATATATATGGCAACAGAAGAAGACTATACTCTCCCTCTGGGCTTCCCTGGCATCAGGCAAAGCAAGGCTAGAAGGCTATTTGCAACAGTACCTAACCTACTATGGCAATGCTCTCATTCTAAGAGAAATCAGGATTACCACGTTCCTTTATGCACAGGTAATCAGGGGTTATTAAATAACCCTGAACTGAGACAACAGTCTCACCATCAAAGAAAGTTTTCTTCTCACCCAAGAGGTTTTTATAAATATCTCAGATTTTACAATATCTCAGCTTCTTTACTTAAATACTAAACTATCAAAGCAAAGAGGACATCCTCAGAGCTGAAGAATGACTAATATTAATATTCTCAGATTTGTCTATACTTTATAGATCAGTAAATATTCTATCAGGTTATCCATTTAAGACAATAAAGCCCAGTTTGGTGGCTAGCTTGTTCCCCTCAACTCTGCACAGTAAACTGCACTAGTCAGTCTCTGTGTCCTTGACATCTCCTATGACTCTTCAAATCTAGGGACAACCTTGTATAAAGGTGAAAAATTGCAAACTCCTGCAGAAGCATTAGTATAAATACTGAAGTAGACTTCAAAGGAATGACTTTAACTGCTTATGAGACTATTCACAGCCTTGCTAGAAACCCTACTGCTCTCAAATCGCTGGACTGAGAAATTCCAGTAATTTAAACATGGGAGGGAATTTAACTGGGAAAGGTTCCAGCATAGGTTCTGGGCCCTGGAACGATGATAAGCAGCTAGCCCCAAACACTGGCCGCATTTCCATTTCCCCGTGTTCACAACTCTTCCTCACTACGGGTTGTCGAACTCTTCCACCTGTCACATCACAGGGTGAGAGCCCTGCTATCGCTGCTCCGACTTCATCTGGATGTTCTACAGCACAGGTGGGACTCACTGAGGTTATCTATCACTTTAATGGATTGGAAATTTCCATTTCATACCATCAGGTTCCTAAAGCCATCAACTGGGAACAATTTCTAGTGAGTAAAGGCACAATTCACTGGCATTTCCCCTTCATAAAGGAAATCAAAAGCATTGTTTAGAAGCTGAACAAACACCTTGGGTATCCTATAAAGGAACACTGTATCTGCTGCCAAAACCCAGGGAAATTTACTAGATATACAGACTATACAGATCATGTAAAAGCCCGAATTTGGCAGTTTAAGACGTACTCCCAATTTTACACCTACACCATTCAGGAGGAAGTGCTGGTTAGTATCACAGAAGCAAATTAAAAGTGTTACCACCACCCTTTTGGTTTGTTTTTGCCATCAACTGCCCCCAGCTCCAGTGAGGCCTGTCAAAAGCTCCGTCGCTCAGCAGCCTGCAGAGCTGCTCAGAGAGAGAACAACGGGAGTCACCTCCGCGGCCCAGCAACTAGCGCTCGGCTGTGTGGCAGAGCCCACAAAAAGCCTTAAACTCAGGGAAGACTCACAGAATGGCACTAACATTCTCGGTTTTATAATACTTTCCCAGGAAGTCAGAAAATAACTTGGTTTTTAATGAAAGAAACTGAATCTATGCTCAAAAACAATGAATGCCTCAGAAAGCAAAACCTAGAATGGAAAAACTACAAATTAACAGCTTGTTAATCAATAGTTTACTTTGGCTAAATTATCATAGTAAGTCAGTGCAATTTATTATTGTATTCAGAAGCACAGCCTACCATGTTCTCATAAAGAGAGCAGTGAAGTACACGAAAACAGTTTACAGAGATGCTGGCCCTTCGGCATCCTGTGACTTCAGCACTGAAAAAGACGAAGGCTGACCAGCATCTGCCATTCAGCACAAGGTGGGTTAGGAAACAGCTGATCTGATTCTTATTCACCTGTGGCAGTCTCAGGAAGTTCCTATTTGGACACTGATGGTTCTCAACCTGGCTGCACGTGAGAGTCATCTAGGAAGCTTTTAAAAACTGCCAAACGAAAAAAAATACAATAAAATAAAAATAAATAAAAATTTTAAAGAATTGCCAAATGCCCAGACCAATGAAAACGGGAGGGAGAAGGCCAGAAATCAGTGTTCTTCATGCTTCCCCACTGAGTGGTTCTCACACGCAGCCCGGTCACACCGCTCCCTTTCGGCGAGTGTTGCATGAAAGCTGTATGTAGATACTTCTGTTCTTTACTAAATTCCACTGGGAAAGGGGAATTTTAGAAAAAGGCACAGTTGTGCTTCCTCCAAAGACACAGCTTACTGTTTGAGAGGTGCTGGTTCTCCGCGGTTACGTGGAGCGAGGGTTGAAAAGGAGGAAGTCCCTGTCTTGGCAGAGCAGGCACATTTTCAGGCTGCGGCAGCTGCCTCCAGCCACAGCGAACGCCCAGACGCCCATGAGCACCATGATCACGTATGCCGACACCAGACTTACTGCATAGTGAGGACTAACGAAGGTCTGCAAAGGAAAAATAAATCAGCTTGGGTAGTAACGGCTAGCTTATTAACATGTGGAGCAACTGAAGATAAAGGCAAATGTGAAATAACTTTAATAGCTGGGGTGTGCTTCACCAAACATACGATGTATGTCATACCTTGAGGAGCACCAAAACCCACAAAGACACACCGACTAAACTCGTCAACAGACACCAGCCCACAGATCTGTGCTTTATGGTATTCAAATGGCAGCCCTAGAGTGTAACCAGAAGCCAGAACCTAGTGGAATACCCAATAGACAAAACATGTTATATAACCAGGCCCAATTTATAATCATTTCTGTGTTAACTGGCTCTCAGAATTTGGAAGAAAGCCAGAGAAGTCCAAACTACTTAGGATGAATCCTTAGTACCCAAGGGAACACGAAGGAACAGCATCTCTTTTTCAGCTGCATGACTGCTGTGGGTTCCACAAGTTCACCCGAAGAACACGAATGGGGTGGGAGGCCAAGAGGACTGTGTTACACAGTGGGGAAGGACCACAGTGTCTATCCTAATGGAGCTCATACACTGGTAAGGCAGACAGGGAATGAATGAATAAATAAATAATTACATAATCACAAATTCCAATGAATACCAGATCAGAATAATTATAATTGTGATGGCAATGGGATAGGTAAAAATACAGTGACATACTTAGGGTGGTCGAGCAAAGCCCCGAGGAAGTGGCATTTAAACTGAGACATACAGGAGGTGGAGTGAGCCAGCCTGTGAGACTGAGGGGGGGAACCGAAGGAGCTCGGTCAGCTGAGAACTTGGGAAGCATCAATATCATCATGTGAGGTCAGAGACGAAGGCAGGGGCCAGCTACGAAGCATGCTGGAAGGGAATGTGGATTCTACACATAGAGCAATGGAGTGTCACAAAGTGTTTTAGGTGGGGGAGCTGAATGACTAGACTTAGATTTTTGAAACTGCAGAGAAGGATCAAGGGAGGCCGTGATGAAAGCAGCAAGACTAGTTAGGAAGATTTTTTTCACTGGATTGGGGAGAGTACAGGAGGGTGAGTTAGACCACGGTGGTGGAGGCAGAGACGGAGAGTGGATGGTAAGAACTGACAGGACTTGCTAATGGAGGGCGTGTGAGGGATAGTGAGAGGCCAAGAATAACTTCCATGTTTCTGGCTTTAGGTAAATGGTGGTGCTATTTAATGAGATAACAAAAACTTGAAGAAGACCAAGCATGGAGTGGTGGGTGAGAATCCAGTTCAAAGAAGATATGCTAAGATTGACTTACCTGTGAGATTCCAAAGGCAGAAGGCAGAAGGTATAAGGTAAGCAGTTAGATATATGAATATGGGGGAGGAGAGGTCTGGACTTGAGAGAGGAACAGAGGTACAGTCCACGCATGGCATTTAAAGCCACAGCTACGAGTGCTTACCCATGGAGCTACTGTAGAGAGAAGGGAAAAGAGAAGTCAAGACCAAGGCCTGAGAATGCTTATGAATTATTTGTGCTATCGAAGGAGCAAATTAGAGGTGTCAACACCACCTTAGTGGCTTGACTAGGTGAACAAGACTCAGCAAAGGAGTCTGAGAAGAGAAAACAGAAAGGTGAAAGGAAAATCAAGAAGATGTGATGCAGAAATCAAAAGAGAACACCATTTCAGAGAGAGGGTGGTGAACTCTTTTTAAGGTTGCTGGGATGAAAAGAGAACACTGTCCATTAGATCTGGAAAAAAGGAGGTCCTTTTGACCCCGACATGTGCAGTTTTAAAGGGGTGGCTGAGAAGACGCTAGCTTGAACCAGAAGTATGAGAAGTAAAGCAGTGAAGACAGAATTTGTGGGGACAACACTGAGTTCTGCTGTGATGGGGAACAGGAAGAAAAGAGTCCTGGGGAAAAGGCAATAAGCTGATGAGGAGATGGAAAAGCTGGTGATATAGGCCAGGACAAAACTGAAGAAGTGAAATCGTTAAGTAGGAAAGAGTCAGGTCTAGCCCCAGGTCAGGGAACTGACCTTTGACAGAAGGAGGGATCCTCTGCTGGGACAGGAGAAGGTGGGGAGACAGGTTCCCATCTAGCCACTCAGCAGAGGAGAGGACTGCCCTGGCTGGTGTGGCTCAGCGAGCCGAGCACTGGCCTGAGAACTGAAAGACCTCTCGTTCAATCCCAGGTCAGGGCATACGCCTGGGTTTCGGGCCAGGTTCCCAGTTTGGGATGAGAGGCAACCAACTGATCAGTTTTTCTCTCACAGTTTCTCTCCCTCTGTTTCTCCCTCCCTTTCCCTCTCTCTAAAAAATAAAATGTTTTTTAAAAAAACAAAGGGCAGGACCTAATCGGGTCAGCTGGTCACCACACACCTCTGTGTATTGGGTAGAGGGGAGCGCCTCCGAAGCTCCTCACACTCCCCCTCCCTGCACATGCACCTGGCTAAGCACCAGCCCTGCCTGTCGGCTCTGGCCGTAGAAATAGGCTAATTTTGCAGGTAGCACCTTATGTAGAAGGAATATTTTTCTCAAGAGGCACCTGTGGGCATGGTAGGCATTGAACATTTTCTGGATTCTTTTTCAGAATAATTCTATACATCATATCTATTAATTTGTAAGTGCAAATCATAAAAAATTGATTTGACTACACTGAATAAATTTTGTTCATAAAAAGACATCAGGAAAATATAAAGACAAACCACCTTGCAGAAGAAGTTATTTGTAATATATATACCTGACAAATGCTTCTTTTAAATATATAAAGATCAAATCAAAAAAAAAAGAGAGACAACTGAATGATAGGCAAAGGACTTGAACAGGCACTTTACAAAAGGATTATCCAAATGTCCAATAAGTACATAAAGATAAGCTCGACCTTCTTCCTTTGGCTGCTCAATTCAGGATGCTCTTTTTCCGGACAGCTACATAACCAACTCTGTTTCATGTCTTTGCTCAAATGTCACCTTCACAATGAAGCCTACTCTGACTGCCTAATTCAAAAAAATTCCACACCCCTCCATCTCCCACACTCTGGATCCCTCATAACCTTCTCTACCCTCCTTTTCTCCACAGTACCTATCAACTTCTAGCACGCTACACAATTGCTGATCATGTCTGTTGCTTATTGCCTCTCTCCCTCCACTAGATTATAAAGACAGGGATCTTTAGTTTGGTCACTGAACTGTTTTGTTCACCTAGAACGGTACCTGGAACATAGGAAGCACTCAACAAATTATTTGTCAAATGAATGGTCAATGGGATCCACAAGAAAGGCATTTGCTTTTTCATGTAACTTCCTTTCTGATTATAAAATGTATGTTGCTTGTGGTCCCTCTGCCCCCCAGGAGGCTGCCCTGAGTCCCCATTCCTCCTGACAACCAGGACAGGGCAAGGCCTTCCCCAGGATGAACCCTGGGCCCCGGGTGGTGGAGGGAATACAGCGACAGCCCTGCCCCGGGCTTACAGGGAGGTGGCGTGCAGCCGCAGAAGCAGGCGCAGGTGGAGTATGGCTCAGAGGAGGGGCCTGAGCACGGAGGGCATGTGAGAGGGCCCGTACAGAAGGCCTCATGTGTGGGAGCAGCTCTGGGAGTGGCTCAGTGGACTGAATGTCAGCCTGCGAAGCAAGAGGTCACCAGTTCAGTTTCCAGTCGGGGCACATGCTTGGGTTGTGGGCCAGGTCCCCAGTAGGAGGTGCGTGAGCGGCAATCACACACTGATGTTCAGTTCCCTTTCTTCCTCCCTTCCCCCTCTAAAAATAAATAAAATATTTAAATAAATAAATAAAATGTATGTTGTAGAAAAATTGGAACATGCCAAAAACTATATAGAATAAAAGAATCCACCCAGAGATTAACGCTGTTAATATTTTAATGCATTCTTTCCAGTCTTTTTTCATGAAGATTTGACTTTACATAGTTGCAGTCTTATCAAGGGAAACATTAGTAGCCTGCATCACCAGAAGGCTTTAGGTGGGAGATGCAGTCAGACTGGGATAAGAGGAAAAGGAGGCCGGTATAAGGACACCTGACATAACTTCCACAGGGATGGAGAGGAGGGCAACATGAGGCAGGACACCATCAGAAGAAAGCTGCTAAATCCTTTAGATGAAAAATAATAAGGGTCTGAATGAGGGAGTGATGGGCAGAATTCTGATGTAAATATCCGACAAACTGTAATAAAAGTCAGACCCAAGACATTTGATAGTACTTACAAAAGCATCTAGTCAAGTCTGATCAGATAGAGTAATGGTACAACCTTGGGGACAGTGTTTTAGCAATTTGTATCAAAGACTTTAAAAAATATTCATGCCATTTGACTTTATAACTCCATTCCTTGGAACAACATATTGAAAAAGTTTCCTGTACAAAATGTCCAAGACGGCATTATAATAACCAAAGTAGAAACAGAAGGATCAGTCACTTAAGCACCTATAATATAATCTTTATGTCATGGTATAAATCCATTAAAATTTATGTTACAAGGATTTACAAGGACATGCAAATTGCTTAAGATGTGTTACACAGCAAACCTTAATGCAAGACTATTTGGGGTTTGACTATATCTATTAAAAAAGAAAGACAGTAGAAAAAAATCTTTAATGAGATCAACCAACAAATTAATAGTTGTCTTTCTGTAGTAAGACTTAGATGATTTTATCTATCATTCATCCATTCTTTTTTTTAAAGATTTTATTTATTTATTTTTAGATAGAGGAGAAGGGAGGGAGAAAGGGGGGGAGAGAAACATCAGAGAGTGGTTGCCTCTCGCACACCCCCAACCGGGACCTGGCCCGCAACCCAGGCATGTGCCCTCACTGGGGATTGAACCAGCGACCTTTGGATTCACGGACCAGCACTCAATCCACTGAACCATACCAGCCAGGGCATTCATCCATTCTTTTAAACAACTTTTCTGAATTTCCTCATTTTCCCATGAGCATGTACTCCATTTAGAGTGGAAGCTACCATTTGAGACGTGGACTTGAGCTCCAAAGAACAGTTTGAGCACAGTGGCAATACTCACCAGAGCTGACACCAGCAGGTGGGTCAGAAGAACTACCAGAAGGGTGTACCAATTTTTCTTCTCACAGCCATCAAAAAATACAATGCCCCAGAACATGTGCAGCAATATGATAACCAGCGTCATGAAAGCTGAAAGACAGTCACCCATTAGTGCCCAGTTATATGAACAGCTGATGCCAAAGCCCACTGAACACCTGGTCCTGACACACAGGCCCTTGGGGTAGACCACAGACCACAGCACTGAGAGGGTTGACCAACAGGCAGAAGCAGGACCGTGACACACATTCGCTCCAACGGTGACGCAGAAAGCAACATTTCTGAACAAGGGGCCAGCTCTGCAAGAGCTTCTCTAGATGGTGAACCTGTTAAAAAGACAACTTGAATCTGGCTTTCAAGGAGTTCCTCGGAGGAATGATGCAATACGTGATATCTAATCAGCTCTTTCTAAATTAGCCTTCTGCACTCAATAAGAAAGACTTTCCTCAGTTAAAAGGAGTATCTTCAGTTTAAACAAGCCTTTTCACTAAAGTGAAATTTCTCCTTGGATTTTTTAAAGGCCAAAGGAAGAATAAAAATATTAAACATTACAATAATTACTTAAGATTCTTGTTTAGCAACTGAAATTGAATTTGATTAGCACACACAGGTTTTCCTGTGGAATACTGTGTGTGTCCTGGATAACATTCTTCCACTTAAAATGGTCAAGTTCCACATATTCTGAAAGCTTTAACATAAAAAAAAGACATACAGATTTCCCTTTTTTGGCCATTTAACGAGATACCACTAACACCTACCAGTCTGGCAAAAATTGCACTCTGATGATGCTCTTTCACACTGCTGGTAGGAAAAAATCTAGCATTATCTACTAAAGTTACAATCTGCATCCTCTATTTCACTCTGGCAATTCTGCAGGTAAATCTATGCTCTGAAGCAGTCAGTTCTGGAATCAACAGATGAGGACTTGTTAGAAATGCAAATTGTTGAGACCCAGCCCAGACTTACAGAAGGAGGTGCAATGAGCCCAGGAGCCTGTTTAAACAGCCCTCCAGTTGATTCTGATGCAGTCAAGTTTGAGAACTGCTGCTCTGGAGAAACTCCCATATATGTGCATGAGGAGATATACATGTGAATATTTATATCAGCACTATTTGCAACAACAAAAATGTCCATCATTACCAGAATACATAAACTGTAGTGTATTCACACATAGAACACTATATGATCTGCAGTATAAATGATCTCAAGAATATAATGCTGAGTGGAAGAAAAAGGCACCTTGTGAAAAAATGACTATTACTTCACTTACATAAAGTCAAAAACACACAAAACAAGGTTAAAAAGACAAAACCGTTGGGCTGGAGAAAAGTCGGCACATCTCATGACAGCATGCCACCATTTCTGTAAATGATGGTGAATGCTTTAATTAAAGCAGAAGAGGGATTTTTTAAAAAATTCTGGGACAAGGGCAGACTAAACTAAAATGACACATTTTAATCCCAGTGATGATCCTAGAAAGGGAAGCTGTCCTAAGACGCTTCATCTGTCTGGCGATGTGGTGGTCCAGAGGTGTCTACCGAAGACACTCAGGAGTTAAGTTTACATCAGAAAAGACCAGGGGAGAAACTATAATCTACACAGGCACAAATGCTCACACCCTAAGGTTTTTCTAAAACCTAGATGTCAATTAAATGTCAAGGGAAAGCAATGACACCATAAATATGTCATCTGTCTGTCAGCTTACATTTGCCCATCTGTCTATGCGTTACCACAAAACGAACACTGAAAACAGCCAATCATGCTCCTATGGTCAGGTCCCGGAGCTTGGCTACTTGGGAAATGCTCTCACCTAGGAAATTTCCAGTTTATTCTCATCTTTGTCTGTGAGCTTCAGACAAGGATCCTCAAGATATCATTAGCCCTGACCTTTCTCTCAAATTCTAAGTCCATATTTCTGTTTGCAAGACCCTTTCCTAAAAGGAAAGACCTTTGATGTACTGACCCTGTCTCCAAAGTCAAGTCTATCTACACCTGTCTGTGCCAGGCACTGTTCTAGGTACCGGGGGTACTGTGGTGCACAAAACAGTCTCATGAAATTCTGCCCCATCTTTCCAGTATACTGTCTTATCAACACAATATCTAACAGGGACCTCTGGGGTAACTACTGAAACACTGTACACTTCTACTTAACTGCGTATTTACTCAGCTAGCACTATTTTCTGGCTGGCTTCCATGGTCATTTTAAGTCTTTATACTACTACAACGTGCTATTTGGAATACTGGGATTTTATTGTTTATTCTCTCCACAACTGGTCAGAGGTCCAGCAGAAACCAGGACCTGGCCATCTGAACTGCTCTGCCACAGACACACTCCTCTCCGGTAAATGGAAGTAACTCCAACTAGAAATGCAGATGCTAACAGTATCTATAGGGTATTATCTTTTAACTACAAAACATTTCTCATTCATGTTCCTAAATAGAAAATTCTGAAAGTCCTTCAGTGTCTCTAACCCTAAAATTTATTTTGTTCTTGTATTCTTAAAAGTAGAAAAAACTTCCCGAAATTAACCATAAAATTATCAAAATTAGTTTATCATCCAGATTAATGAAAGATGTTTCCATAATTTGTAATGTTTTAAAACACTAAACAGAAAGCAGAACAATTCTAATAAGTACCATAGTGTGAAATTGTGCTGTCAAGTTCAATAATGGACTTTTTCTTCTAATAATCTTTTAAATCAAATTCTCTTGGTATAGAATGTTTCGATCTAACCCATTCCTAAGCAAAATGTTTCAGTGTTATCTTTAAGAGGCTACATTTAACTACTTGGCTCTTTTATCTTTCCTGAATATACTCCAAACACTCTAGCCCAGATTCATAAATACCCTCATTCTCACATCTGTCCCTCTCTCCTTCGTTCCTGATACCTACTTTTCTGTCCTTGCAAAGGCAATACCCTAGGATAGCAGCTAATTCTAATACGGGGTCCTGCCAGCACAGAGATTGCTATCTGCTGGTTTCCCCTGACTTCAGAGTATCTCTAACCACGCCAGGGAGAGCCAAGGGCTGCTGCTGGGTGGTGGCGGCAACACACGGGATGTGATTGGGCTTCTGGCTTTTTTCCCCAAGTAAGAGAAGGGTCTAGGGTGTCAGGGTTTTGTGAAATGAGGGACTCTCCTCCAACCCCCTTGATCGCAGAAACTCTCTGGATTCTTGAACAATCTCTAATGACCTAGCCCAAGTAGAAGTCAGGCCACAGAATTAAATTAATGTTTCTGAAAACACCTTTCCTATAAAAGGGGTTTAACTTTAAACTTTTGCTTTAAAAAATGTAAGAGAATTCTGTGACCTAGTTTATTGTAATACAGGTGTACATATATTACTAATCAAATAACATTTTCCAAGATTAAAAAGAGACATTTTGAAAATCTTAGCTACATAACATACCTATAAGAAAGGTATAGTACTATAAGGCATTAAGGCATAGTACTTAATACCAACCACATCATAAAGAACATGTCCTGAAAGCAATATGAATGATTACAGGTGTTTAAGTAGCATTTACCATTTTATATTTATGAAAATGCCCTCAAAGTATGTTTATGAGCTAAAAAGACTGCCAAGGATATAATTTTATGTTTAAAGTCCTTCTAGCAAATGTTGAAGAACAAAGAAATTCTCTCCTCAATAATTAGCTCAACAGTGGGGAGTCAGTGGGAAGCCCCTTAGGGGATGTAGATCTAATCCCCCATTCGATCAAAAAGTAGATCCCACAGGGCCCACTTCAAATACTTCCATTTTAGGAGTTTACTTCATTCAAACAGTCACTGTAGGAAAATTCATTCTCATTCTAAACCCAAATCTGCCTTCTGACTCAGTGATTCTCAGCTGGGGTAATTTGCCCCCAGGGGCATTAGACATTTGAGGTTGCCACAGGTGGGGGTGGGGTGCCTCCGGCACACAGTGCACAGAAGTCAAGGGCACAGCTGAGCATCCTACCACACACAAGACAACCCCCTGCAACCAAGAATTATCTGACCCCAACAGTGCTGAGAAAGCATGGGATCCTTGTTGATCCAACGAAGGCTCTTTGAATAATCACAAGCCCACTCTTCTCTTCTCACAAGTAACATGTTAAAAAATACTTGCAACTCTGTATCAGTCAGCTGTTGTCACAAAAATGCTACATAATAAACCATGCCAAAACTCAGTGGCTGGAGCTGCCATTTAGCAGCAGGGTTCTAGGTGGTGCCCACAGGAACCTGGGGTATAAATCCCTAACGGGGCACCCACCTTCTGGCAGCAGACAGTGAGGGTGGGCTCTCAGAATGTCATCACTTTGTATTAATGCTTCACTGAGTTCTTGAAATTAACTAGGAACTTTCCACGTTTACCTCAGGTCTGGAATAGTTTCAGCACCAGCAGATTTTACTTTTCTTTAAATGTCTGTTCCAAACTAGCTCCCAAACCATTGATTCCTGCTGTCATATATAAATCAAAAGCAAGCCTAGAAGAACTTGGGTGGAGACTTAAATAGAAGTTGGAGATAAGATTTGCTGTTGAGTTGAATGTGAACTTTGAGAAAAAGAATTAGAAATGACTCCAGCTCTTGACCTGAGCCACAGGAAGGATGGAAGTGTCAGCTGAAATGAGGAAATGCTGTCCCACTGCCTTCTGTCCTCCAGAATTTCTGATGAGCAGTCAGCAATACTTCAAGTCATTGTTCTACTGAAGCAGGAGAAAGTCCTCCTAGAGATGGGAAAGCAGCCTACCGTGGGGACCTGAATCTCAAGAGACTTCAATCTCAAGACTGATATCCAAGTAAACCTCTGTAAATCAAAACATTCAAGTAAATCTTTGGTGAAAAACTTTAGGATAATGAAAAAGGTGAAAAAGATCTATCCTTTAAGCCTCCAGGTTGATTAATTTCTTAAAAGAACCATAAAGATTTCCAAACATTTATGTATATAATAAGAATAGTCTAGTTCTGGGAAATTTGGCTAAGACCCATTTCAGGAATTGTGTTGGGAAACCTCAGAGTGCACCAATAAAATATGTTAAAGTGTTACAATTTCCCCAGATTGTACAATGCAGCAGTCCTGATGTGAACTTCCTGGTTCTCTGTAGCAGA